TAAACTGAACTAGAACTGAACTAGAACTGAACTAGAAACTGAACTAGAACTGAACTAGAACTGAACTAGAACTGAACTAGAACTGAACTAGAACTGAACTAGAACTGAACTAGAACTGAACTAGAACTGAACTAGAACTGAACTAGAACTGAACTAGAACTGAACTAGAACTGAACTAGAACTGAACTAGAACTGAACTAGAAACTGAACTAGAACTGAACTAGAACTGAACTAGAACTGAACTAAACTGAACTAAACTGAACTAGAACTGAACTAGAACGAACTAGAACTGAACTAGAACTGAACTAGAACTGAACTAGAACTGAACTAGAACTGAACTAGAACTGAACTAGAACTGAACTAGAACTGAACTAGAACTGAACTAGAACTGAACTAGAACTGAACTAGAACTAACTAGAACTGAACTAGAACTGAATTAGAACTGAACTAGAACTGAACTAGAACTGAACTAGAACTGAACTAGAACTGAACTAGAATTGATCTAGAACTAGAAGTTTGAATTGTAGTTTGAAGAAAAGTCTGGACAGTCAAGTTCACTCTAAATCTCTTTAAAAATTTTGCTCCATCAGTGTCTAATGTTTCCTTGCCTTTTAAAGTTTTCCCTTTAAAACTTATGTTTAGCTTTCATTTGTCTACTTAAAATCGTTTAAAAATTTCTATTTATTACTTGTTAAATGTCTGTTTAATACTAACATTACAAAAACCATAAATATCAATAATAATTGCTTAATTTTCTTCAAACAAATACACAAATGAGCAGACAGACAGACAGACGGACAGACAGACTCCAAATACATAAATTTCACAGTCATAGACGTCAACTAAAACCAATCAGCAAATATGTAGTAAAACGAGCAACCAAACAGACTACTGCTCTTCACAGCTACTAAAATCTATAACACGACTAGACAGACAGATGGACAGTTGGAATGGCATATCAATGTTGTAAATGAAAAAAATAAATATAAAGCAATAAAAAAAGGCAATTTAAAAAAATAAAGAAAAATTGTTTAATCATGGCTTTTAATTTCCAAAGAAATTATAGACGCGATCAAACAGAGTTTAAACTGAACCCTGGTCTAAAAAACACCTCTAGCGGCCGGTTATTTTTAGTAGCTTAAATAAAAAAGTTTTTTTACAATTTGTTTAGTTTTAGTTTTTTTTTCTGTTTATTGATTTATGGTCTTCAATTATTGTTTACTTTAATTGTTTATTTGTTTTTTGTAATGTTTATATTTTTTTATATTTTTTTTTTTTTTATTATTGATAAATAAAAATATTTGTGCGATTGCTGGTTTAGCTGTACACAGCAGCCTTGAATTAGAAACCAGTTTTTTTTTATTAATTTTTAAATGAATTCACTGGAAATTTATTTGAAGAGTTTATTTTTTGCACTAGCTGGTAAACGCCGTTCAATTGAACTGGTTTTTATTTAAGCTGCCAAATAGTCAAAATTAATTTTGTTATATTTAAATTGAATTAGTTTAAGAGAAATGTGTTAAACACAAAAGATGATTAGGAGTTAAACTACTTTTCTTTTGAATATAACATTTAATTAATTGTATTGAAAACAAGTGGGTTACTTTTTTCCTATTAGGTCGAATTTTAAATGCTCTACAGCGAAATAATATTCCATAGTCTAAAGTCCAGACTATATTCTAGTATATAGTCAAGACTAAAATCTAGTTTAGTCTACATTCCAGAATATAATCTAGTCTATAGTCTAGTACAGTTCAGTTCTAGTTCTGTTCTAGTTCTGTTCTAGTTCTGTTCTAGTTCTGTTCTAGTTCTGTTCTAGTTCTGTTCTAGTTCTGTTCTAGTTCTGTTCTAGTTCTGTTCTAGTTCTGTTCTAGTTCTGTTCTAGTTCTGTTCTAGTTCTGTTCTAGTTCTGTTCTAGTTCTGTTCTAGTTCTGTTCTAGTTCTGTTCTAGTTCTGTTCTAGTTCTGTTCTAGTTCTGTTCTAGTTCTGTTCTAGTTCTGTTCTAGTTCTGTTCTAGTTCTGTTCTAGTTCTGTTCTAGTTCTGTTCTAGTTCTGTTCTAGTTCTGTTCTAGTTCTGTTCTAGTTCTGTTCTAGTTCTGTTCTAGTTCTGTTCTAGTTCTGTTCTAGTTCTGTTCTAGTTCTGTTCTAGTTCTGTTCTAGTTCTGTTCTAGTTCTGTTCTAGTTCTGTTCTAGTTCTGTTCTAGTTCTGTTCTAGTTCTGTTCTAGTTCTGTTCTAGTTCTGTTCTAGTTCTGTTCTAGTTCTGTTCTAGTTCTGTTCTAGTTCTGTTCTAGTTCTGTTAGTTCTGTTCTAGTTCTGTTCTAGTTTCTAGTTCTGTTCTAGTTCTGTTCTAGTTCTGTTCTAGTTCTGTTCTAGTTCTGTTCTAGTTCTGTTCTAGTTCTGTTCTAGTTCTGTTCTAGTTCTGTTCTAGTTCTGTTCTAGTTCTGTTCTAGTTCTGTTCTAGTTCTGTTCTAGTTCTGTTCTAGTTCTGTTCTAGTTCTGTTCCAGTTCTGTTTTAGTTCTGTTCTAGTTCTGTTCTGTTTTAGTTCTGTTCTAGTTCTGTTCTAGTTATGTTCTAGTTCTGTTCTAGTTCTGTTCCAGTTCTGTTCTAGTTCTGTTATAGTTCTGTTCTACTTCTCTACTAGTTCTTCCTGCTTTTTAACACATTTTAAAATATTTTATATAAATTTCCTGCTCTTAAAACTTTTTAAAATTCTCAAATTTTATTACCAAAATTTATCTATTTTCAAAACTATTTTCCTAAAATTTTATTTTTATATTTATACACTTGTTATAGAACGCAATAAATTTATTATGACACATTAACTATAATTAATGTCATTTATTTTTGAAACAAAATTTGTTTTAGAATGAATTCTCAAAAAATTAGAACATAAAAATAGAAAACTCCCATACATAAAAACTCAAGTTTATTGAACTATTAAAAACGAAAACTATACACGAAAAAAAAAATAAAAATTATCTTCCTTTAAAGAAAAAAATTATTAGAAAATAGGAAGATTTGAAAAACATAACGCACAGCAAAGAAAACAGCAAGAAACCTTTTCACTTGTTGGCAAATGCAGCAAAAACACGCATCTAACACTAGAAAGAATGATACTGTAGCTTTGCAAGAAGAGAAGAGTTCATGTTTTCTTCGTATTCTTTTTTTTTTTTCTTTCTTGAAAGCTATTTATAGCCAGCAAACACTACAGCAACCAACTACTACAGCTCGACCATAAACATTTAATATTTTTTCTTCATATCAAAAATGAAAATAAAAACAAACAACAAAAAAAATGTTGCTACAACAAAACCTATTCATAAATGGTATGAAAACAGCAACAACTTTTAGTAAGAATATAAAAATAAAAAACAAGAATCGCATTTAAAATTTCAAAGACTAAAAAGATACTAAATATCGTTAACATGATTATTATCTAAAGATTTGTGCGTTCTCAGACAAAACACAACATCAAACATGTTGCTTTGCAACCTAGTGAATGTTCTGGTTAAGCTTACTCAACATAGCTTCAGACTGTTTGGTAAAAAGTGTCATCGAGTTGTTTTGTTTGTTTGTTAGTACAGCTGTTTATTGTTTATTACAACCGGTTTTTTATTTTATATACACCCTACAGTCGGGCCTCTAGGGTGAGTTATAGTTTAGACTATAATTTAGAATTCAGACTATAGTCTAGACAAGAGGTCAGCTTATAAATGAGACTTTAGTTTGGACTATTTTAGACTATAGTTCACACTATAGTCCAGATTATAGTTCTCACTATAGTTCAGACTATAGTTCACACTATAGTCCAGACTATAGTTCACACTATAGTCCAGACTATAGTTCACACTATAGTCCAGACTATAGTTCACACTATAGTCCAGACTATAGTTCACACTATAGTCCAGACTATAGTGCAGACTATAGTCCAGACTATACTTCAGACTATTGTCTAGACTACAGTCCAGACTGGAGTTCAGACTATGGTCCAGACAATAGCTCAGACCATGGTTCAGACTATAGTTCAGTCTATACTTCATACTATAGTCCAGACTATAGATCAGACCATAGTCCAGACTATAGTTCACACTATAGTCCATACTATAGTTCAGGCTATAGTCCAGACTATAGTTCAGGCTATAGTCCAGACTATAGTTCAGGCTATAGTCCAGACTATAGTTCAGACTATAGTCCAGAGTATAGTTCAGACTATAGTCCAGAGTATAGTTCAGACTACGGTCCAGACTATAGTTCAGTCTATACTTTAGACTATAGTCCAGACTATAGCCCAAACTGTAGTCCAGACTATAGTCAAGACTATAGTCCAGATTATAGTCCAGACTATAGATCAGGATTTAGTCCAGACTATAGTCTATACTATAGTTCAGACAAAAGTCTTGACTATAGCTCAGAACATAATCCAGACTATAGTTCAGACTATAGTCCAGACTATAGTTCAGATTATAGTTCAGCCTATAGTCCTAACTATAGTTTAGGCTATAGTCCAGACTATAGTTCAGTCCATAGTCCAGACTATAGTTCAGACTATAGTTCAGCCTATAGTCCTGAGTATAGTTCAGACTATAGTCCTGAGTATAGTTCAGACTATAGTCCTAACTATAGTTTAGGCTATAGTCCAGACTATAGTTCAGTCCATAGTCCTGACTATAATTCAGACTAAGTTCATACAATAATTCATACAATAGTTCAGACTATAGTCCAAACTATAGTACAGACAATATATCAACCTAGAAGTCATACTGTATTTGTGTTAGGTATCTAAAATTCGGCTCAGCCGAATGTAGCTCACGAGCCTTCATCATCTTTAGCATCAGGTTTGTACTGCTGCTACTGGTGGGGTGGTGTTATATTGGTCGTATGCATGTGTCTTGTTTTTTTTTTGTTGTTGTTTGAGTGTGATGTCAACTTCGTCATCAAGTCAATGTTAATAATAATGATGTTGTGTGGTAGTTGTTGTTGTTGGTGGTAACAACTCCCTTATGGAAGTTGTAGAGCCGGCTAAACATTTAGTTGTCGTGTGGCCTTTGAAAGCGTTGCATGTTTTTTTTTCGAGAGAGAGGATTATAATAATGAAGAAAAGTGAAATGAAATAAACAAAAAGAAAAAAAACGGCGGGGAAGCGAAATTATAAAATTTTTACAAAAAATTGTGAAAAAAAATAAATTAATAAAAATATTTTTAATAAAAAAACAAAAAATTAAAAAGAAATTGGTTGAAGAAAATATCGTAAATTGAAGGTTTCTAATGGAAAACAGTTGCATAAATATACAGTTACTGATTACTAAAGAAATCTTTCAAATGTGAATATTAATGATATGGTTACTTACCTAAAGGAAATCATTGAAAAAAACAAGTGGTTACTTTGATGACCAAATCTGTGAATTAAAAAACAAAAAAAGAAAATTTTATATAAAAAATCAAATAAAAATTTTTATCTAAATAACGAGTTTACAACAAATAAATTTTAATAAAATTTTTTACATAAAGTAACCACTAACCAAGGAATATTTACAAGTGGTTACTTAAAAATACAAATTTAAACAAAATTATTTATATTGAGAAATAAACTAAAACCTAATAGTTTATTAACAAGGTTTCAAACAAATTAACGGGTAATGAGGCGTAACTTGGAATATAGAAGACATTTTTAAACAAGTAACGATTACTTCGAGAAATGGTTACTTGTGAATTTAGAAACCAAAAACGAGTCAAAAAACAAAGTTGTGGCAAAATTTGTTTAAATTTTCTTAACAATAGTTTAGATAATTGAAAATAAAGCCATTTTGCTAAATGGTTACCGATTACTTTTTTGCATAATAGCGATTTTTGGACAGAAACTAGGAAAATTTTAGGTTTAAAGACACTCTTAAACATTATAAGTTAAAAAAATGTGAAATAAATAAACAATTTAAATAAGTGGTTACCGATTACTTTTTTGCACAAAAGGGATATTTGAACAGAATTAAGGATAATGATATATAAGGGAACACAAGTAAACATATTAAATGAAAATCTATTGTTAAAATAAACAATTTGGTTAAATGGTTACCGATTACTTTTCGGCCACCGATCAGTTTTAAAGAAATGTTAAGATTTTTTTTGGAAAATTTAGTTTTTAGATAAATTTTCTTCAAATAATAAACAAAACATATAAAAATGACTACTTTAGACAATTTGAATAAATGGTTACCGGTTACTTTTTTGTAAATTTAAATAATTCTTCAATAATCTTGAAAATTTTAACTGAACGCCTAATTTTATCAAAAATTATTCTTAATTATAACAATATTTCACTATAATCTGATAATTGAGTAAACGGGTACTGGTTACTTTTATGAAAATTTGTTAAATCTCAAAGTTCTTAAGCAGTTTTGGGTTTACTCTACCATTTATGATACTATTTTCATAATGAATTTAAAAATTTTTTATAATTAAACAAAATTGGATGCATGGTTACCGGTTACTTTTGGTTGAATTTAGGCATTTTGTTAAATTTTTGAAAGATTTTGACTTTAGCCCCATTTTTATTGAAAATTATTATTGAAATGTATCGCATTAAGACATTTTGTAGAAATGGTTACTGGTTACTTTTTTCAAATCTAAAGATTTTTAACATTATTTAGAAAATTTCTTAATTTAAAACCAATTCTAGGAACAAATTTAAATAATAGAATTCAAGATTATTAAAATTAACATAATTTTAATACATGAGTACCGGTTACTTTTTTGTAAATTTAAGATTTCTTAAACATTTTTGAAAGTTTTTATAATTTAACAAGCAATTCGAGTAAATGGTTACCGGTTACTTTTACGAAAACCAGTTGATTGTTTGCTTTTTTAAGTCTATTCATGTTTTTAAAACTTTTGAGAATCTGTTTTTTAAAAAAAATTATAAAATTTTGTAAATGTAAAAAAAATTTGTTAAACGGTTACCGGTTATTTTTTGCTAAAATTAAAAATTCTTCAAATTTTCTCAACAAAGTTGACTTTAGACAACATTTTATGCAAGTAGTGACAATAATTTGGCATGTTTAAGCAAATTTGAGTAAATGAATACCAGTTTCTTTTACAAAAACTTAATTTTTTACTTTTTTGGGTTTAAAAGAAATTTCTGGGCATTTTTCTCATAAAAAATTGTAAAATTTTGTATATTTAAGCAATATTTGTGAAGTGGTTACCGGTTACTTTTTGTTAAAACTGATAATTCGTTTAGTTTTCTTAACAAAGTTAACTTTAGACAACATTTTATGCAAGTACTGATAATAATTTTTTACATTTAAGCAAATTTGAGTAAATGAATACCGGTTACTTTTACAAAAAACTTGATAATTTTGTAGTTTTCTTTATGAAACTCAAGTTTCTTGACAAGTTTTTTACAATAAATAACAAAATGTAGTATAATTTAAAGAAATTAAACAAATGGTTACCGGTTACTTTTTGCTAAATTTGAGTTTTAAGAAAATTTTCATAACAAAGTTGATTTTAGACGACATTTTAAACAAGTACTGATAATAATTTATTACATTTAAGCAAATTTAAGTAGATGAATACCGGTTACTTTTACAAAAACTTGATAATTTTGTAGTTTTATTTATGTAACTGAAATTTCTTGGAAAGTTTATTACAAAAAAGTACAAAATTTAGTATAATTTAAAGAAATTGATCAAACGGTTACCGGTTACTTTTTGCTAAAGTTGAACATTTTCTCAATTTTCTTAACAAATTTAACTTTAGCCAGCATTTTAAACAAGTACTGACAATAATTTATTATATCTAAGCAACTTTAAGTAAATGAATACCGGTTACTCTTACAAAAACTTGATCATTTTGTAGTTTTCTTTATTTAATTTAAATTTCTTGACAAGTTTATCACAATAAATTACAAAATTTTGTATATTTAAAAGAAATTGCTCAAATGGTTACCGGTTACTTTTTGTTAATTTTGGGTTTTACGCATATTTTTTTAATAAATATGACTTAAGGCTACATTTAGAAATAACACATTAAGTAATCTTTCAAAAATATGTTTTCCCAATGGAAACGCACAAGTTTTTATGTAAAAAGTAACCACATGGTTATGTATCTTAAACCCTTTTTACCAGTTGCTTTCAGTTTTATTTTCTACCCTTTTAAACATTTTTTTCAATTTAATTTCAAAAAATTGTCAAATATTTAATCTTATGATTAGTTTTTTTTTTGACATTTCTTTGTCTCAATGACACTGTTGACATTGATTTCGAGAGAGAATACAAAAAAAGTGCAATTCCCAAAATAAAATTAAAATACTTCAAGCAACTAAATCAAATGACATCAAAAACACCACCCGTGGTAATTTGATCTTAAAGTAAAACTTAACAAACTGTCATTGACAATCTGTCAAAATATCAAATAAATCCTCAACTACCCCAGTCATCGAGTAAGAAAAAACGATTTGAAAATGAGTGTTAATTTAGTTACGCCTGCTTATTTTTCTCATTTTTTTTTTTTTTTTTTTTTTTGTAAAGTTTATTAAACTTTTTTTTGGACAGAAACAAAATACCTATTGCGTCTCCATGTCTAGGCAGATGTTTTTATTTTTTGTAAAGAAAAACCAATAAAAGAAAATTTTTGTTTATTATTTTTTCTTTTTATTTTTTGGAAAATATTTCCATAAACAGCTGCCTTTGGTATATAGGGTGAGTTTATGTGTGTAATTGGAAAAATAAACTGTGTTACTTCCTATTTTAATATTTTTTTTTATAATTTGAGGTTAGGATATCAGTTTTTGTTGAAAAGTGTTTTTGTGTTGTAAGTGGGCGTTTTTCATTGACTAAACATAATTTGGTTTTAAAATGTCATATTGGTTACATTGGTTGCACTTATCTGCCTAAAGTAATAAATAATTAGGTATTTGAGAAGAAAAGGTTTTGGTAAAGAATCGAAAATTTTTGACATTTAAAGTGGGAAAAAAGATAATAAAAATATAGGACAATTAAACAACATGTGTTAATACAAATTTTCCAAGAATCTATGTTAATGAACAAGGGGAAGGAGGGAGTTACTTTAAAACCTATAGTATATCAAAACGCCCTAATATTATTTCACTAGAAATCCCCTTTAATGTGTATATCCTTATCAGTGATAAGGAATGAGATGTAGCCATATGGTATATCAACAGAAAGCTACTTTAACACCCTTTCAATTGCTCCATTTTCTCTGTTTTCAAATGTATTTAATACTTTTTTAAATCTTACACTTTTAGTGATTTTAATTAAAGTTCTCTTTTTTTTTGTTGCAATTCTATTATCATTAGCTATTTAAAGCATATTTAATTTATGTTCATGTTTAGCTAAACTTTACCGTAAACAACCAGCACACGCGGCACAAAACGATAAAGACCAATATTATGATAATGTTTTAATGTTAATTTTACCCACATCTAGGACATTGTTGTACAGGCAAAGCAAAAAGCTAATTTTAAGCTTCTAACCCAGTAGTTTTTGAAGTGGTCAAGTAAAATGGTATTTTGAGCAAAACTCTGACTGTAGTCCATACCCTAGAACTGAGAATAGTTAAAACTGTAGTTCTGATAATAGTCCCCACTATAATCTTGTCTAAAGTTCCCAATATAGTCTTGTCTATAGTCTCGACTATAGTCTTGTCTATAGTGTCTACTATAGTCTTGTCTGTTGTCTCGACTATAGTCTCGTCTATAGTCTTGTCTTTAGTCTCGACTATAGTCTTATCTATAGTCTCAACTATAGTCTTGTCTGTAGTCTCGACAACAGTCTCCACTATAGTCTCGTCCACAGTCTTCACTATAGTATCGACTATGGTCTCCACTATAGTATTGTATATAGTTCACACTATAGTTTATAGTCTAGAGTATAGACTAGCCTTGACTATTGTCTTGTCTATAGTTTCCTCTATAGTCTTGTCTATAGATTTCACTATAGTCTCTACCATAGTCTTGACTATAGTTTCGTCTTGACTATAGTCTACACTATATTCTTGACTATATTCCTCATTATAGTCTACACTATAACCTCGACAATAGTCTTGTCTATAGTCTCGACTACAGTCTTGTCTATAGTCTCGACTATAGTCTTGTCTATAGTCTCAACTATAGTCTTGTCTATAGTCTCGACTATAGTCTTGTCTATAGTCTCGACTATAGTCTTGTCTATAGTTGCGACTATAGTTTATAGTCTCGCTATAGTCTTGTCTATAGTCTTCTCTATAGACTAAACTATAGCCTATAGTTTCCAATATAGTCTCGACTATAAGTTCCACTATAGTCTTGACTATAGCATCAACTATAGTCTTGAGTACAATCTTGACTTTAATCTCGAAAATATTCTTGTTTATAGTCTCGACTAAAGCTTTGTCTATAGTCTAGACTAAAGCCTTGTCTATATTCTTGACTATAGTCTTGTCTATAGTCTCGACTATATTCTTGTCTATAGTCTTGTCTATGCTGCAGCCTTGTCTATAGCCTCGACTATAGTCTTGCCTATTGTCTCGATTGTAGTCTCGACTATACTCTTGTCTATAGTATCAGCTATAAACTTGATAATAGTACCAACTATAATCTTGTCTATAGTCTCGACTATTGACTTGTCTACAGTCTTGT